GGGACTCGTCAGCTACTTCTCGAGCCAGCGCGAGGAGGAGCTGGACGGCTAGCGACAGACGGACGCACGCTCGCGGTGTACATATACACATAGACAATTATATTTTTAGTGCGAGTTAGAGGCGACGTGTAGTTTGGACGCAATGTATATTATATAAATCTAGATCGAAAAAGTTAAAAAATGAGAGTCTTTTTGGTCTCGAATAAAATGATGTATTATTATTTTTATTTTTGTTAATTTCTAAGTGAGATTTATTTATACAACAAACGATAAGTACTTACTGTATACTCTAAATACGAATTTTATTAAAGAATGATAATTTCTTTTTGCAAAATAAATGTTTTCTCTTAATTTGTAGTTTTTTTTCTCTTATATAGAATTTACAACTTCCATGAGAGTCAAAATGGAGAGTGTACCATAGCGAATAAAATTATACCACTTAGAAAAAAATATTCGCATCGCTAAGAATCAAGCGTAATAAACTCGAGTGTGGCTTACACTTTGTTGTGCAGTGTCGTGATAGTAGTGTGATCTCAGTATATATATATATATATAATCTATGGTGTGATACTGAAGTTTGCGCAACTTAAACAATTTAATAAAATAAAATATTCTATATCTAGTACCTTGCTCAAAAAAGTACCTTTTCCAAGGTAACTTCTCGAGGGAAATTACAGCATATACGCTATGTCGACATCAATATAGCGGGTGTACCATAAGTTAGTTCTAGAGAAGGTGCTTTTTTTGAGCGAGGTACTAAATAGTATGTCTTTGGTATTTTTTTGGTAAGTGGTTCATTCGCTATGGTATACCTGCCATTTTGACTCTCATAATTTTTTACTAATACTTTAAGTGCAATTTTGGTTGAGAATTGAAACAAAAAAAATAAATTTAAATATTTATTTCCTTATAATTATTTGCGAGGTCTGCCCGGCACCTTCTTATTGCCCGCCGCCTGTTTGTTCTTGCCACCAAACGATATCGTTTGCTCTGAAACAAACACATTTTTGTCTTCAAATGCATATGATAATAAAAATTAGCGTACAGACGAACTAAGAACGTTTTTAAATTCGGTTAACAAACTATCTCCTCTTAAACAAAGCCAGTTTTATTCACATTTAATACGGGATGAGTTGTATTCGGCAGTGGGGGTCTAGCACGAAAATCTGTGAGAAAGTGTCTTAAAAAATGTATAAGGCCAAATAGTGAAACGTCATTTAAATATGTAACAGTATTTTAAAGAAAAAGCCACGCTTAAACTAACAACATTTAATTAACATTTCTTACAATGTTGAAATCAGATTATAAGCGAATTTAATTGTTTCAATATTTGGCCGTTATGGTACTTTATGCTCGAATCAAGGTAACAAGAAGGGAGTAACTGAGATGATGGAGAAAACCTACCTGACCCTAAGGGGGTAGAATAAGGGGGAGGAAGTGTTACATGTCGTAAATTTTCTTGCCATATCCCCAGTAGTATAGTGTAGTGTGTCAGTGACTGAAATGGATGATAGGAGGAGGAAACCGACCCTAAGGGGGTAGGATAAGGGGGGGATGGTGTAAGGTGTGAGTGCCGTGTTACCGCAGAGTACGGACCGGGCGGCGGGATCTTCAGCGAGATGTCGTAGGTCTTGCTCTTGGGGCGCTTGGCGACGGGCTCCAGCTTCTCCGGCGTCTCCACCGGCGTCACCGTCTCCTGCGTCGCTGCCCACCCATCCTGGAACACATATAACTTTTAGAAAATACCATTTTTTTTGGAAATTTAATTGCGTATGCTACTTTTTAGAGTTCCCAGTAAATAAAAAAATCCCAACTTCTTTAGAATAACACATGTAAATAACAAAACCATCTTTTTTTCTAAAATAACTTTTCATAATTGCTAAAATGTCGATATTCTGTGCAATCGCTGCTCTCTCATTGGTCAAAAGATACTTTTAATATGATATAATTAGTTGACAATAAATTTACAACTGCAAAATTATAATTATAAATTATATAGCTATTGTATTGATCGCGACATCGCCTGCGTAAAATAAAAAAAATATGTTACAGATATCTTAACTTTTTAATAGTGAAAGAATTGAAATCAATTCTGTAGTTTTTGAGTTATTTCGATACATACAAAAAAACAAAACTTTCGTCTTTAAAATATAGGATAGATAATAGATACGAGAAGGTCCTGTCTGACGAAGAACAGTTATAATTCTGGAGACAGAGTCGCGTGAATGTAATTTTTTTGTCCAACAGAGTTTTTTTTTATCCTTGTCCCCTGTACCTCCGGGTCCTCTATCTCCGGCGCGATGGGCAGGAAGGAGAGCAGCGTCTCGTCCTCGCCCTCCTCGTCCGAGCTGCAGAAGG